GGCCATGCCCGACGCCGCGGCTCCGTAGGCTACGCGGGGCACTGGGGACATGAGGGTGAGCCTGCGCCTGGCCAGGCATATGCGGCTGAATTTAAAAACCCTGCGGAACTTGGAAAGCTGCCTCACTGCTTGGCTGACTCGCTTGTTGTGCTTAATATACTATCGCGTTGCCCCTTGGGCCCTCTTTCGAGTCCGAGATCAGCTAGACTCGAGCTTAAACGCGGGCACAGGCTGGTTAAATTATTGGCACGCTGCTTTGGCCGTTCCCACGTCGGCCCCGATGACCCCAGACATAACCGAAATGTCCAGGCCAAGGTCCAGGGCCCCTGGGCCAAGACGGGGGTCAAACTGTGCTTCGGCCCTTCAGCGCGCTGGTTTACATCGTAGACCCACTGGTAGGAGCGCACGCCCTTGGGTAAAAACTGGCGGCGGACCTCGTCTAAGAGATCCTACAAAACAATTCGCGCGAAGTTTTCTGCATCGCTATCTCCTGTCAAGGGGGGGCGCGTCGGCTCAATCGGCGCCGCGATGGCGCCTTCGGAGCGCAGCGCGCGCGGCGACGGGCACAGCGCCGCTGCCATGCCGAGCTTCCCCGGCGAAGACTCCAGCCTCAGGGCGGCATCGAAGGCCATTGGCGGGTTGACCGCGCCGTAAAACTCCGCGAAGTCACGCGTCACGCTAGCGCAGCGAATGTCCAGCTCGCCCGCGACCTCGTCGCAGAAGAGCCCGAAGATGCCGCGCTGGAGCGCGCTGCTGCCCCTGATGGCCCGATCCCCATGACCAGCCTTGGCGGCGCACAGAGAAGCTCCCAGGGCGTTGCGCATCTGCGCCCAGAATCGCATGGCACAGGGGATCCAGGCCACTCCTCGCTCCGAGCCGTCGGGCTTCGGCAGCAATCCTTCCAGCGCGTTCACGAGCTGCCGGGGCCGCGCCATCTGCTCCTCACTAGCGTAGAAATTCACCATGTCCCGCTTGGCCTCGGATGGCAGGTTGCGCATGCCGGCTGTGTAGTTTCCTCGAAAATCACATATGCGTCGATCGGCGGCCACTCGCCCTCGCGGGCGGCGAGGCGCAGGCACTTCTGGCGGATGCTGGCGAGCGACTCGAGAATGACCGCGCCACTCCACCTATAGGCCCACGCCTCGCGTTTGCCCCCCATGACGCCGTGGAGGTCCGCGGACGAGTCGGCGCCCATGCCGCGCTCCATGACAGGGCCTGCCGAGTCCGCGCTCACTCGAGGACCTCGCTGGGCTTCGTGGCCGTGCACTGCGCGACCCGCTCCTGGAATGCATGGAAGCCTTGGCGAACCTCGGCCCGCTGGAACCTGTCGGCCAGGAGCCCGGGCGCATAGGCCACGGTGGAAGCCTGGTCGGTCGACCACTGGCGCGCAGCCGCCAGACCGCGCTGCCGCTTGCCCATGGCGGCAGAGTCGATGGGCGCCAAGTTATCAAGCACGGCGCGGCTGCTGGTGTAGATAACGTCTGCTGCGTTCTCGCCTGCCTCCGAGGGAGTCGCGCCCAGTTTGGCTAGAGCATCGGCCGACAACTGGGCGCGCGCCGCCATCGTGCCCCACCACCTCGTAGCTCGATTGGACGCGCTCGCCCCCGTGCCAACAGGCGGCGCTCCCATCTGCATGTAGGCAGGGGCCCTGGCGTGGCCTCGCCCAATGCATCGGCGTCTCTCTTCAGCTGGGATCTGCGTCGCTTCTTTGTAAAATCCGCCGACCCTGTCGGCGTGTGTGAGGGGCTTCTTCGTTCGACTCGTCGTCTCCGTCGTCTCCGCTCTCCCCCTCCCAGGGCTCTCCTCCTCAAGCGCGCTATCCAAAGCGAAATTAAACGACGTCGTAGTGGAGTCGAAGGGAAGCCCCTCCCCTTTGACCCCTTCCCCGGGGGGGGGGGGGGGGGGCCGGGGCAGATGCGACGCCCGCCGGGGCGCACTTCCCTCGAGCGGGCACGCGCGGGATGCACCTCCTCCTCCTCCTGGTCCTCCTCCTCCTCCTCCTTTTCCTCCTCCTCCTCCTGCTCCTCTCCTCCTTCTCCTCCTCCTCCTCCTCCTCCTCCTCCTCCTCCTCCTCCCCCTCCTCCCGCAGGGGCGTCCCGGGAGCGGGCCCCGAGTCAAAATACCACCCCCCTAGGGCGCATTTTCCTCGAGCGGGCACGCCCGAGATGCACTTCTTCATCTTCCGGGAGCACGCCCCAAGTCAGAATATCACACTCCCGGGGCGCACTTTCTTCGAGCGGGCACACAAAGGATGCACTTCCTCCTCCTCCTCCTCCTCCTCCTCCTCCTCCTCCTCCTCCTCCTCCTCCACTTCTCCTCCGCCTCCTTTCCTCCTGCTCCTCCTCCTCCCCTCCTCCTCCTCCTCCTCCTCCTCCCCCTCCTCCTCCTCCCCCTCCTCATCCTCCTCCTCCTCTCGTCCTCCTCGTCCGCCTCCTCGTCCTCCTCCTCGTCTCGTCCTCCTCCTCCTGCTCCTCCTGCTCCTGCTCCCTCCTCCTCCTCCTCCTCCTCCTCTCCTCCCTCCTCCTCTCCTCCTCCTCCTCCTCCTCCTCCTCCCCCCCCTCCTCCTCATCCTCCGCTTCCTCCCCCCACTCCTAGCCCTTTCGATCAGGGTCGGCGGCGCCGGCCGTCAGGCCTCTCCAATACCTCAACTTGCGCGATCTAACGCGCATGCCTTCTGCCCGGATCGTCGGCCGCTCCAGGCGAGGACCGTCAGGCGAGTTATATATACGTATAATATATATATACATGTACATCTATATATATATATATATATATATATATATATATATATATGTATATATATATATTATGCACATGTGCGTGCGCGGTAAGACGGAGGCTGGCCATGTTGAGCGCGTGAAAATTTGACCTGCCGCCATAGAGCGCCCTCCGCCTCGGGAGCGGGCCGCGGCGCGTCTGGTCGCGGCGGCATGGAAGGGAAACCAAGAAGCTGATCGTGCGACGGCGACCCCTCCCCAGCCCGGGCGGGAGCGGACCCCCCCCCCCCTCGGGGCTCTCGTGCTGGTTGGCAGTGAGCGGTGCCTGGTCGTCGCGGCGGCTCTGCTGCCCTTGGGCCGCGAGCGGCGCCGCGCTGGGGGCCGCCGGAGGCTCGATGACCTCGAGGTCGCCGCCATCATTGTTCAACGCGTGATCCCCCGCTGCGTCGAGGCATGGGCCGCGAGCCGCCGCGCCCGTCGACCGCCCTGGGCCTCGACGCGGCCCGACCTCGCGTCATCATCGTGCACGGCGTCGGCATGCGGCTCGCCCAACATAGACGCTGGCGATGGGGGCGCATCCTCTGGAATCTGCCGGGCAGGATCGGCTCGACTATCTTGGGTGCCCGGCGCATCGAGCGGTTTCTCCTGGATCATCTCAAGCCTGCGCTGCTCTGCCTCCTGCTTCTGCCAACTGCGCCCACCGTTGGGCCGGGCGCCTTCTGCAACGGCGGCGGATGAATGAAGAAAAAACGGCGTCGGCAGAGTGGGTGCCCATGGAGGGGCAGATGGGGATCTGCACTGCGCGACCAGGCCCACGCGGTTCTCGCGGTCGCCCATGGCTTCGGCGAAGAACTTGGCTGGCACGCGGTGCCCTGGCCCCCCCGCCGCCGCGCGGTCCAGGAGGCGGCCGCCTGTGTCCGGGGCGAAAGAAGACGCTCGTAGGCTCGCACATCTTCCCGTCGACGTGGCCGGCCCAGCCAGAGACCTCCAACTCGGTCGGGGTGACGTTCCAATCTCCGACCGCGATCCAATCTCCTGCGAGACTGCGAAACTCCCAACCAAATTCTTTAGCCTGACTAAGCGCCGGCCTGTCATGCCGACGGAGGTCACCAGGTAGACGGCGATGGCTTTGAGCTAGCCGCGCTTTGTCTGAATGGTAAGCGCCTGGAAGCCCCAAGAACCGATGGGCCCTGCCGCAAACTTGGGCTCTGGCCCCCGACGGCGCAACTGCCCCTCTGCCTTGCGATAGCGCGCCAGGTGCTCCAGCGATGCGCACTGGAGATGGCGCCTGGCTCCTAATACAACCCCCCCCTGTTTGCCGTGCCTCGCCGTCTGCGCGCGACGGCGAAATGACTGCCTTCCAGGAAGCTGCGTCAAACTCGGCCAGCACCGCGCCACTGCCACGCTCGTCTCGATGGTCTCAGAATATCCGCCTGGAACGGCGGCGCCGTGATCATCCTCTTGCACTTCGGCCCCCAGTCGGTGATAGTGCGCGCGTAGATCGCGCGGTGCGGGTCGTCCTGGTTAAGGCGGCTGCAATTTGGCCTTGGCTCTGGCACGGGCCTCGTCGGCCAGCTGAGAGCCCGCCCGGGCGGCCGCGGCTGGCGCGGCCGACGGCCGCTGGCCATCACCGGCGGCCGGGGGGGCCGCGGCTCCAGCGGCGCCATCAGGAGGGCCAGCACCATCAGCGGCTGCAGCAGGCGAAGCAGCAGGCTCATTGCCTGGCCCCGCCGCGGCCGCGCCCGCCCCCGGCTCGGCCCGCGACTTGGAGGTGAACGGCCGCTCGGCCTTCAGCCCGGCGCGCACGCCCTCGAGCTCCTGTTTCCGCCGCTGGATGGCCGAGGCGCCTGGGCCGAAGACCTCCTTGATCTTCGCTTTGAGCTCCTCGAGGAATTGCTGCTTAAGGTCGGTCCACTTCTGGCTGTCCTCAGCGTCGACCTCAAGATCCATTGCGTCGAAGGCCTCGCCCTTCTCGAACGCGAGATCCCCCGCGCCAAGGAGAAGCTTGCTGAGGTCGGGGCCGCCCGCCGACGTGAGCGCGTTGGCGGCGTGCCCGTGCGCCGCGTTGATGGCGTCGAGCGTCTCTCGGACCCGGGGGCGGGCGAAGTGCAGGGTCTCGGCGCAGTTCTGGGCGTGAGCCTGGCACTCAATGACCCAGGTCCTAACGTTTTCCTCGGAGAGGGCCGCCTTCTCGAGGGCCGCTGCCGCCATCCGCTCTGCCGCCAGGAGTCGCTGATACTTGGCATCGGGGGACTCAGGTGCGATCGCCTTGGGCGGCTGAATCTATCCCATGAACTGTGCCAGCGCCTCACGGTTCTCACCCGTGAGCGTCTCATCGAGGGGCGCCAGCAGCGAGTCGGCGCCCGTCTGGGACTCTGCCTCGGCCGTCGGCTTGGTCCAGCGACGACGGCGCCCACCTTGCGGCTTGGGCCACTGGTCCGAGGTCTTCCAGTCGGAGTCGCCCTTGTCGTCCGCAGCCCATGCACCAGTTGGCTTAGCCCGCGGCGTCTGCTTGAGCTCCAGTTTGGGCCCGCACGCGTGGCACATGCCCTTGTCCTTCCGAGTCCATGTGTACTTGCACTTGATACAGCGAACGAACTGCCCGCCGCAGCCATGCTGCATGGATGGGCCCGCGCCCGAAAGTCTGCTCCTGCAGAAGCTCACCAACATCTGTCGGGTGGAACACCCTGGCACTAGCTCGGGAATCAGAGCTTGAGTCAAAATGACTACGGAAGGACGACGACGACGATGACGACGAGGGGGGTGACGACAACGACGACGACGAGGACGACAACGACGACGCGGAAGACGACGACGACGACGCGGGGGACGACGGCGACGACGACGAGGACGAGGATGAGGACGATGACGACGAACACGAGGACGCCAGCGACGACGACGAACACGAGGACGACGACGACGATGACGACATCGACGACTACGACGACGAGGACGGCGACGGTGACAACCACGAGGACGACGAGGGCCGAGAGCGCCACGACGACGACGAGGACGAGCACGACGACGACGACGACGAGAACGACGAGGACGAGGACGACGACGACGAGGGCGGTGACGAGGACAACGACGACGAGGACGACGACGACGACGACAACGTAGGGGACGACGCCGAAGACGACGAGGATAAGGACAAGGATGACGACGAGGACGACGAACACGAGGACGACGACGACGACGACGAGGACGAGAACAACAACGACGACGACGACAACGACGACGGCGACGAGGACGACGAGGACGAGGTCGACGACGACGACGAGGGCGGTGTCTAGGACGACGACGACAACGACGACGACGACGACGACGACGACGACGAACAAGAGGACGACGACGACGAGGGCGGTGACGAGGACGACGACGACGAAGACGACAACGACGACGAACACGGGGACGACGGCGAGGGCGGTGACGAGGACGACGTCGACGAAGACGGCGACGACGACGAACACGAAGACGACGACGACGACGACGACGACGACGACGACCAGCGCGACGACGACGACGACGACGACGAGGACGACGACGGCGGCGACGGTGACAGCGACGACGACGACAACGGCGACGAGCGCGACGACGACAACGACGACGGCAAGAACGACGGCGACGACGACGACGACGACGACGAGGGCGGTGACGAGAACGACGACGACAATAACGACGAGGACGACGACGACGACGACGGCGACGGCGACGACGATGGCGGTGACGACAACGACGACGAGAACGACGACGACGACGACGAGGGCGACCAGCGCGACGACGACGACGACGAGAACGACGACGACGACCAGGACGACGACGACGACAAGGACGACATCGACGACGAGGGCGGTGACGACAACGACGACAACGATCACGAGGACGACGACGACGAGGACGACGAGGACGACGCGGGATACGACGACGACGACGACGAGGACGAGGATGACGACGACGACGACGAACACGAGGACGACGACAAAGACGACGACGAGGGCGGTGACGAGGACGACGACGACGCCGACGACGACGACGAGAACGACAACGACGACGGCGACCGTGACAACGACGAGGACGACGAGGGCGACAAGCGCGAGGACGACGACGACGACGAGGGCGGTGACGCGGACGACGACGGCTTCGACAAGGACGATGAACACGACGACAACGACGACGACGAGGGCGGTGACGAGGGCGACGACGACGACAAACACGAGGACGACGACGACGACGACGGCGGCGCCGACGACGACGACGAAGATGACGGCGACGGAGACAGCGACGAGGACGACGAGGGCGTCGAGCGCGACGACGACGAGGGCGACTAGAACGACGACGACGACGAAGACGACGACGACGAGGGCGGCGACGACAACGACGACCATGAGAACGACGACGCCGACGTTGACGAGGGCGGTGACGACGACGAGGACGACGACGAGAACGACGACGACGAGGACGACAACGACGACGAGGACGACGACGACGACGTGTGGAACGACGACGGCGACGACGAGGACGAGGACGAGGATGACATCGACGACGACGAAAAAGACGACGAGGGAAGTGACGAGGACGACGACGACGACGAGGGCGGTGACGAGGACGACGACAACGCCGACGACGACGACGGCGACGACGACGACGACTACGACGACAACGAGGGCGGCGACAGTGACAACGACGAGGACGACGAGAGCGACGAGCGCGACGGCGACGACGAGAACGACGACGACGACGACGAGGACGAGGACGACGACGAGGGCGTTGACGACGACGACAACGACGACGAGGACGCCCACGACGACGAGGGCAAGGACAAGGATGAGGATGACGACGACGACGACGACGACGGCGGCGACGACGACGACGACGGCGGCGACGACGACAATAACGACGGCGACGACGACGACGACGACGACGAGGGCGACGAGCGAGACGACGACGACGACGGCGACGAAGACGACGACGACGAGGACGACGACGACGACGAGGGCGGTGGCGACAACGACGACGACGAGAACGACGACGACGACGACGAGGGCGACGACGACGGCGATGACAACGACGGCGACGACGAGAAAGACGACGACGACGACGAGAACGACGACGACGACGACGAGGACGACCACGACGAAGAGAACTTGGGGGACGACGCCGAAGACGACGAGGACAAGGAAAAGGATGACGACGACGACGACGACGAACACACGGACGACGACGACGACGACGAACACGAGGACGACGACGACGACGACGACAACAACAACGATGACGAGAACGACGGCGTCGGTGACAACGTCGAGGACGACGACGGCGACGAGCGCGACGACGACGACGAGGACGACGACGACGACGACGACAACGACGACGACGACAACGACGGCGACGGTGACGACGACGAGGGCAATGAGGACGACGACGACAACGACGAGAACGACTACGACGACGAGAACGAGGACGACGACGACGACGAGGGCGGTGACGAAAACGACGACGACGAGATCGACGAGGACGACAACGACGACGACGACGAGGACGACGACGACGGCGACGACGGCGACGAGGACAACGACGATGACGAGGGCGGTGACGACAACGACGACGACGACGACGACGACGACGACAACGACGACGGCGAAAACGACAAGGGCGACGACGACGACGAGAACGACGGTGACAACGACGAGGATAATGAGGGCCACGAGGACGGCGCCGACGACGACGACGACGACAAGAACGACGAGGGCGGCGACGGCGACGACATCGAGAACGACGACGACGACGACGACGACGACGGCGACGAGGGCAACGACGAGGAGGACAACGACGACGACGAGGACGACGGCGACGACGACGAGGGCGGTGACGACAACGACGACGGCGACGACGAAAACTACGAGGACGACGACGACGACGAGAACGACCACGACGGCGACGGTAACAATGACGACAACGCAGGAAACGACGACGACGACGACGACGAGGGCGAGAACGAGGATGACGACGACGAGGACGAACACGAGGACGAAGACACGGACGACGACGACGAGGGCGGTGACGAGAACTGCGACAACGACGACGACGACGAACCCGAGGACGACGACGCCGTCGCCGACGACAACGATGACGACGACGACGACGGCGACGGTGACAACGACGAGGACGACGAGGACGACGACGACGATGACGACGACGACGACAAGAACGACGACGACGACGACGCCGACGACGACGACGACGAGGGCGGTGACGAAGACGACGAGAATGACTACGTTGACGAGGACGACGGCGTGGGGGGGCGACGAACACGAGGGCGATGATGATGACGACGGCGACGACGACGAGCACGAGGACGACGACGACGACGACGACAAGGGCGGTGACGACGACGACGACGACGAGGGCGGTGACGCGGACGACGACGGCTTCGACGACGAGGACGATGACGGGGACGGGGACGACGACGACGACGACGGCGACGGCGACGAGGACGACCACGACGACGACGGTGACGGTGACAACGACGAGGACGACGAGGGCGGCGACGATAACGACGACGACGACGAGAACGACAACGACGACGAGGACGAGACGACAACGACAACGACGACGACGAGGGCGGCGACGACAACGACGACGACGACGGCGGCGACGGTGACAACGACAAGGACGACGAGGGCGACGAGCGCGACGACGACGACGACGACGAAGGCGACGACGACGACGACGACGTCGACGACGAGGGCAACGAGCGTAACGACGACGACGACGACGAGGGCGGTGACGACAACGACGACGACGACGACAACAACGCCGACGGCGACGGTGACAACGACGAGGACGCCGAGGGCGACGAGCGCGGCGACGACGACAAAGACGACGACGACGAGGCCGACGACGAACGCGGTGACGACAACGACGACGACAAGGACGCCGAAGGCGGTGACGACAACGGCGACGACGAGAATGACGACGACGACAATGGCGAGGACGACGACGACGACGACGACGACGGCGACGACGACGACGACGAGGAGAGCGATGAAGGCGACGGTGACAACGACGACGACGACGACGACGACGACGACGACGACGACGGCGGCAACGACGACGATGACGACGACAACGACGACGACGACGACAAGGGCGTACATGAGGACGACGCGACGACGTCGACGGCGAACACAACGACGACGACGACGACCAGGGCGGTGACCAGGAGGACGACGACAATGACGAGAACGACGACGACGACGATGGCGACGACGACGACGACGACGGCGACGGTGACAACGACGAGGTCGACAAGGGCGACGGCGCGACGACGACGACGAGAACGACGACGACGAGAACGACGACGACGACGACGACGAGGACGACGACGACGACGAGGACGACTACGACGAGGGCGGTGACGGCAACGACGACGACGAGAACGACGAGGACGACGACGAGAACAACGACGACGACGATGACGACGAGGACGACGACGACGACGAGGGCGTTGACGACAATGACGACGGCGACGAGACGACGAGGACGCCGACGACGACGACGACGACGAGGACGACGAGGCCGGTGACGACAACAAGGACGAGGACGAGGATGCCGACAACAATGATGACGACGACGACGACGACGAGGGCGGTGACGACGACCACTACATACGAGGACGACGACGAGGACGAACACGAGGACTAGGACGACGACGACAACGTCGACAACGAGGACGTCGAGGGCGACGGGGACGACGACGACGACGACAACGACGACGGCGAGGACGACGACGACGACGACGACGAGGGCGGTGACGACAACGACGACGACGACGAAAGCGACGACGACGACGACGAGCGCGACCACCACGAGGACGACGGCGACGATGACAAAGACGACGACGACGACGACGACGAGGGCGACGAGCAAGACGACGACGACGACGACCACGAGGGCGGCGACGAGAACGACGACGACGAAAGCGACGACGAAGGCTGCGACGACAACGTAAACGACGAGAACGACGACGACGAGGACCACGACGACGACGAGGACGACGACGGCGACCGTGACAACGACGAGGGCGACAAGGGCGACGAGCCTGACGACAACGACGGCGAGGGCGGTGACGACAACGACGACGAGGACGACGACGACGACGAGGCGACGACGACGAGGGCGGTGACAAGGAAGACGACGACGACGACGAGAGCGACGAGGACGAGGAGGGCGGTGACGAGGACGACGACGACGACGTACACAAGGACGACGACGACGACGGCGACGGCGACGACGACGACGGCGATGTTGACAACGACGAGGACGACGAGGACGACGAGCCCGACGACGACGACGATGACGACGAGGACGAGGATGACGACGAGGACGACAACGAGGGCGGTAGCGACAACGAGGACGACGAGAAAGACGAGGACGACGACGACGACGACGACGAGGACGACGACGACGACGAGGGCGACGAGGGCGGTGACGACGACGAGAACGATGACGACGGCGACGAGGACGACGACGACGACGAGGACGAGGACAACGACAAAAGGACGAGGACGAGCATGACGACGACGACAACGACGAACACGAGGACGACGACGACGACGAGGACGACGACGACGAGGGCGGTGACGACAACGACGACGACGACGAAAACGAGGACGACGTCGACGACGACGACAACGACGGCGACGGCGACGACGACGACGACGACGACGAGGACGAGGACGACGACGACGACGACGACGAGGACGAGGACAAGGACGACGACGACGAGGGCGGTTACAAGGACGACGACGACAACGACGACGAACACGAGGACGACGACGACGACGACGACGAGGGCGGTGACGACAACGACGACGACGACGACGACGACGAACCCGAGGACGAGGACGACGACGACGAGGACGACGACGACGCCGACGCCGACGACGACGACGACGACGACGACGACGACGACGACGACGACGACGACGGCGACCGTGACAACGACGACGACGACGAGGGCGACCAGCGCGAGGACGACGACGACGACGACGAGGGCGGTGACGCGGACGACGACGGCTTCGACAAGGACGACGAACACGACGACAACGACGACGACGAGGGCGGTGACTGGCACGATGACGACGACGACGACGACGTCGACGACGACAACGACACGGAAGACGACGACGACGATGCCGAGGGCGGTGACGACAACGACGACAACGATGACGACGAGGACGACGACGACGACGAGGACGACGACGACGACGAGAACGAGGACGGGGACGAGGATGACGACGACGACAACGACGAACACGAGGACGACGACGAGGGCGGTGACGACAACGACGACGAGGATGACGAGGACGAACACGAGGACGACGACGACGACGACGACGACGACGACGACGACGACGACGACGACAACGACGACGGCGGCGACGACGACGACGACGAGGGCTACGAATACGACGGCGACGGCGACGGGGACGACGATGAGGACGACGAGGGCGACAAGGGCGACGACGACGACGACGAGGATGACGACGACAACCAGGACGACGAGGCCGGTGACGACGACGAGGACCACGACGACGACGACGATGATGGCGACGACGACAACGACGAACACGAGGATGACGACGAGGGCGACGGGAGCGGCGACGACAACGACGACAACGAGGACGACGACGACGAGGACGACGGTGACGACGAGGACGACGACGACGACGAGGACGACGACGACGACGAGGACGAGGACGAGGACGAGCATGACGACGACGACAACGACGAACACGAGGACGACGACGACGAGCACGGTGACGACAACGACGACGACGACGAACACGAGGACGACGACGAAGACGACGACGACGACGACGACGACGACGACGACGACGACGACGGCGACGACGACGACGACGACGACGGTGACCAAAACCACGACGAGGACGACGAGGGCGACGAGCGCGACGACAAAGATGAGGACGACGACGACGACGACAGGAATGACGACAACGACGACGACGACGACGACGACGACGAGGGCGGTGACGACAACGAGGATGACGAGGACGACGAGGACGACGACGACGACGACGACGACGACGACGGCGGTGAGGGCGGTGATGACAACGACGACAACGACGAGGGACACGAGGGCAGTAACAACAACGACGACGACGAGAAAGACGACGACGAGGACGACGACAACGACGACGACGACGACGACGACGACAACGACGACGACGACGTTGACGACGACGAGGACAAGGACGAGGATGAGGATGACGACGACGACAACAACGCACACGAGGACGACGACGACGACGACGAGGGCGGTGACGACAACGACGACGAGGACGGCGAGCGCGACGACGACGACGAGGACGACGACGACGACGACGACGAGAATGACGACGACGACGACGAGGACGACGACGACGAAAAGCGCGCCGACGACGACGAGGACGACGACGACGACGACGAGGACGACGACAAAGACGACGACGGCGGTGAGAGCGGTGCGAGCACGACGAGGGCGACGACGAGGACGACGAGGATGACGAGGACGACGACGACGACGAGGGCGGTGACGACAACGAGGACGACGAGGACGACGAGGACGACGACGACGACGAGGACGACGACGACGACAAAGAGGACGACGAGGGCGGTGACGACAACGACGACGACGAAAACGACGACGACGACGAGGATCACGACGACGACGAGGACGACGACGACGACAATCACGAGGACGACGACGACGACGACGACGACGACCAGGGCGGTGACGACAAGGACGATGACGACGACGAACACGAAGACGACGACGACGAACACGAGGACGACGACGACGACGACGAGGACGACGACGACGACAACGACGAGGACGTGGACGAGGACGACGACGACGACGAGGGGCGGCCGAAGGCGGTGGCAGGAGCCGACGCGGGCTCCGAGGCCCGCGCCGCTGGCCTCTGGGGGTGCGCCTGCCGGGCAGGTCCGGCAGGCAGGGCAGAGCGAGCAGGCCCTGGCCTCGCACCGCAGCAGGAGGAGGACAACGAGGAGGAGGACGAGGAGGTGGACGAGGAGGACGAGGAGGACGACCAGGAGGAGGAGGGGGAGGAGGAGGACAAGGGGGAGGAGGAGGAGGAGGAGAAGGAGGAGGAGGAGGAGCAGGAGGAGGGAGACCTGGAGGAACCCCAAAACACAGTGACTCGTTCACAACACCGGCCCCCTGGGGCCTCCGCCCCTCCCCTGGTGGCAGGCAGGCCCGCGCCTCGAGGAGCAGGAGGCGTCGGTGGACGGCAAGGGCGGCGGGCACACGTCCTCCTCCTTGCAGGCCGCCACGTGCCCCTGGTCCTCGGCCGCGGGGGGGGGGCGGAGGGAGCCGTCCGCCTTTCGCTGGCCGCCGCTCGGACGTCCATCCCCGCGCGCGTCTTCGCGCGTGCGCCTTCTCGCCGGTGCTCGCCGAGGAAAGTGCAGACATCCGAGCGATGCCGAGCTCGTCGCGGTCGCCGCCCCCCGCGTGCGAAGCCGTCGGGCCGATGCGCCGTGTTCGCGGAGCTACTGCTCGTGACCCGCGCCACGTGTTGCCATCGACATATAAAAGGGAAGGGGTGAGGAAACTTTCCGACGACTTCGGCCCTTGCCGGGCCTCCAGAGACCACCAGAGGCCTCCTGGGACATCCTGGAGGAGGAGGAGGAGGAGGAGGAGGAAGAGGTGGAGGAGGAGGAGGAGGAGGAGGAGGAGGACGGCGGTCAGGATTCGCTTCTCGGCCTCCTTCCCCCTCATGTTTCACCAAATACGCGCGCCCTTCCTTCGCATCTCGATTCAATCCGCCCATGCTACTAACACGAGTTATTTGGCTGGGTTCGGCAGAAGATCGTGGCGCGGGTGGTGACGCGGGAACCGGGAAAACGGGAGGCACGAACCCAGGAAAGCGGGGAGGCACGAACCCAGCAAACGCGACTGACGACCCAGCGAAGCCATGAAGGCGCGACCCTGGGAAGCCGTCAGCCAGACCAGCCTACGACTCCGCCTCCCCCCTCCGCGTCCTGTCCTCCTCCTGTCCTCCTCCTCCCTCCCGTCCTCCTCCTCGCCCTCCCCCTCTACCTCCTCCTCCGCTTCGCCCTCCCCTCCTCCTCCTCCTGCTCGCCCCCCTCCCCTCCTCCTCCTCGCCCTCCCCCTCAACCTCCTCCTCCGCTTCGCCCTCCCCTCCTCTCCCTCCTCCTCGCCCCCCTCCCCTCCTCCTCCTCGGCCTCCCCCTCGACCTCCTCCTCCCCTCGACCCCCTCTCCTCCTCCTCGCCCTTCCCCTCGACCCCCTCCTCCGCGTCGCCCTCCCCCTCCTCCTCCTCCTCCTCCTCCTCATCCTCCTCCTCCTTCCCCTGCCCTTCCCCCTCCCCCTTCTCCTTCGCCCCTCGTCCTCCCCCAGTCCTCCTCCTCCTCCTCGTTCTCCTGGGCCCCCCCCGCCTCTCCTGGAATGACGCGGCGACGACGACTACCGCGGCGGCGCCCTCGGAGCCCTCCCGCGCGAAACTCCGAGAAAAGCCGAGTCGCATACGCACGCTCCCTCCCCAAGATGTCCTGGGCATCGCTTTCGCGAGAGGGCTCCTCGAGCATCGGGGAATTCGAACGCGACCCGACAAGGGCGACCGCGACCGCGACGACGACGACGCAAACGACGACGACGACGACGACGATGACGACGACAACGACGATGTTTCCACTCCAGAATCCCCAGAATGTTCTGGACATCGCGTCCCCGAGGCCCCTCCCCAACAACTCGGGGAATTCTCTGACCGCCCAACTTCGACGACGATGACGACAATGACGAGGGCGACGACGACGACGCCGACCACGTCGACGACGAGGCGACGAAGGCAACGACGACGACGACAACGACTACGACGACGACCACGAGGATGTTTCACCCCCCCTCCCGCCCCCCGAGGTTCTGGGCATTGCGCACCTGCTGACGCCCCCAGACAGATCAGGATATCCTCACGCACCCCGACGACGGCGACTACCGCGTCGGACATCGCTTCCCCGCGGCCCCTCCCCGAACAACTCGGGGAATTCTCTGACCACCCAACTTCGACGACGATGACGACGACGACGACGACGACGACGACGACGAGGGCGACGACGACGACGCCGACCACGTCGACGACGAGGCGACGAAGGCGACGACGACGACGACAACGACGACGACGACGACCACGAGGATGTTTCACCCCCCCCCGCCACCCGATCACTTGACCACGTAAGTAGGGGAAACGAAGATGATGTTGATGAAGAGGAGGGGCAGAAGGATATCTTCAGCATCTCGATGTGCGTGTCTGGGGTTCCCTGGTTGGCGTGTGTCGGGTTTCCCTGGGTCGTGGTTCCAATTTCTCGGGTTCGCGTGGTCGCCGTTCCTCGGGTTCGGGCCTTCGGGGGTGCAAGGTTCGTGCCACCGTTTCCCGGGTTTTGCGCGTTTTCTCGGGTCGAGGTTTTTCCGGTGACACGCAGTCGGGCTCAATATGTTGCCTGAGAAAAGCGTATGTGCATGTATGAGTGTACACTTCCTCAATTCAGCGTTCGTGGATTTGTATGCGCTGCCCTCCATTTTCATTCGCTGGAAGCAGATTCGCAGCAGGCTCTTTGCATGCCCGCCGACTGTATTTGCGTTCCTGCACGGCCCTTCTTGCCCTGCCTCTGACCCGGGAGAACACGGCTTTGGCGTGAGCGCGATCGGCACACGTGCGACTACAATCTGGGCCGACGCGACCTGCCATCCGAAGGCAAGTCCCGATGCTTCGCCACCGCGGGAGGGAGGAAGGGAAATACGTTTTCCCCAAGCAGTGCGTGCGCTCAGTTGTTCTTATGTGTCTTATTGAGGAATTTCACAGATCCGTCGAGGTTTTGTCACGTTGCCGCCCGTTGCCGCCCCGTTGCCTCCCACTTGGAGGGTCAGTCGAGGTTTCGCCGCACGCAGGTGGAGAGGCGCCTCCGGCGCGCCCGCGCGGAGGTGCTCGAAATGGCGCCCGAGCGGCCTCGGGCTGCGGAAGAACAGCTGCACACCCTCGCTTTCGTTTTCGCCCGGCCCCTGCCCCAGCAACACGAGGCCCCAGAGCGCTGCGCCCGCGGCCAGGCTGGGCGTCGAGCGGCAGCGCTTCGCCGGCAAGGAGCGCCGAGGCTTTGCCGCGCGGCCAGACGGCAAGCGGCGGGCCCCAGGCGCCGCCAGCCGCAGCGCCGAGCGCGCGCGTGGCCCCGCGCAGCACCCCGCAGCAGGCGGCCGCGAGCAGCGCCGCCGCGTCGCCGGGCGCGGCCCTCGCGCGCCCGCGGCCGCATGCTCGGCGCCGCCGATGCCAGCGGCCGCCCCAACATGCCCGCGCGAGACCACCGAGGGCCACAGGTCGTGCCCACTGCGGTCGACGCGGCGGCCAGAGATGGCCGAGCGCCACTCGCCCTGGCGCGGGGGTAGGCCTCCACTGCGACCCGGCTGGCGCCCGCAAACCATCCTGCGGCGATGTCGAAGGAGATCGCGTCGCGCGGGGGCGGCGCCGAGTGTTCGAGCCGGGAGGGGTAGACCATCAGCAAGCCGGGAGTGAGCTCGACGCCATCCAGGTTGCTGGCTCGAACGACCTCCACGCAGAAGCTACGGCGCCGCGCATGGCGCTCTGTCTGGGGTCGCAGAACTGCACGAGGCCACGCGGGCCACCGCCGCCAGTGTCGACCACGCACACGCCACTGAGCCGCCAATGCAGGTCGGAGTGGTGGTGAACCGCGTTGGAGTGATTCCTGAGGTTCCAGTTGGCCCAGCCGGTGATTCTGAGGTCCAGGTCGGCGACCACCGCCTGCGGCAGCTCCGCAAGCAGGGCGGCGCGCGCCGAGTCGGCGAGCCCACCCCGGAGTTCGCTCAGGGCGCCGTGCTGCGCGGTCACGATCCAGTCCGCCAGCGACTGCCGACGCTGCAAAGCATTATCCCCGGAGCGCCCCTCTCGGCCGCAAAGATGGCGCGTCAGCCCCGCGTTCAGCCTCTTCGCGCCCCTGGCGCGCTGCGCGTGCACCGCCGTTGCGAACGGCGGCCACGGCGGTGGGGCGTCTGGCCTGCCGCGCCGCCGAGGTCAGGGAAGCGGGCGGCGCGCTGCCCTTCGCCCGCGGGGCTCACGCCGGCCTCGCCGTTTTCGGAGGTCACGTCGAAGAGCGGGGTCCGCGCGTCGCCGCCGCCCCCCCGCGGCAGCGCGACCAGCCTCGCAGAGGCCGGGGCCAACAGCACTGTTCCTGCCGGCAGCCTCGGGCTCTGCGCCCGGGGGCCACGCTCGAAGGGCCAAAGCAGAGCGCGCCCGGGCCCTGCGCAGCGCGCGCCGACGTCATGCGCCCCCGGCGGGGCCTCCAGCCACGCTGACATCTGCGCGGCGGGGTCGCACGCCATTGCAGCATCCAACACGCAGGCGCCTCGCAGCAGCGCGCCGCGGCGGGGCGGGAGCTCGAGCTGCGCGCGCAGGTCCCCCGACAACCGGCACAGCGAGCTGGCGCTGACCGCGAACTCGGAAGCTCGCGCGGGGCGGTCTGCGCGGTCCGACAGGAACCCGGCGCCGGCGTCGAGCAGCGCGCTCCGCGCCCCAAAGGTGGCGTCGCACTTCAGCGCAGATGCGAAGCCCTCCGGACAGGGGGGGGAGCTCCAGGAAGGTCCTCACCCGCCAGCAGCAGCAGAGGCTGCCGCCTGGAGACTGGCGCGCGCGCGAGAAAATCGACGGCCGGGCCCTCGCGGGCGCGGCGGCTGCGGACCACCCTCAGCAGTGACGGGAAGAGCAGCGCAACGTTGCTCGCGGGGGCTCCGCGCAGCGCCTTCCTCTCGAACGAGTGCCCGCGCGGCGCCGACGGGAAGCCTAGGCTGTCCTCCTGCGCGCCGGCATCCTGGGCCAGTGGCGACTTGGACCGCGCGTCGAAGGCCGCCCGCGCAGCCTGTCCTGACCACGGCGCCGAGGTGCACGCGGCACCCTGGCACGGAGGGGGGCCAGTTGCTGCGCGCTCGACAAACTCCAGCGCATACTTCCTCGCTCGCAGCGGCGCCGCCTGCGCCCAGCTGCAGCTGGCTGAAAAGTTCACCCCGCGCAAGCGCAGACGCGAATAGACTGGGAAGACGGACGCCTCGTCGAAGTCACGCGCGTCGGCGCGGCGCTCGCGGGCGAGCAGCCCCAGGCCACCCCCCCCAACACTGCTGGACGAAGAATGCGCGCCCAGGAAGTCGCGCACAAGTCCCCCGCGACCGCGAGGCTGCTGCGCCGGTCGCGGCCCAAGAGGGCATCCGACTAGCCGCGCAGCAGCCGCCAGTAGGCACTCTGCCGACAAGCCCCCGCTCTCGTGCCATCC